GTTCCACCTTTAATCCTATTACTTCAGCAGTGTCTATTACCATGATGCTGACTGCAGATCCAGTATCGCAGAGGGCGGTTGGCAAATCATGGTTATGTATACAGCATGGAATCAAGAACTTCCCTAGATCTTGCTCCTTCTTCAGAGTTCTATTAGGCTTATGACATACCTTGTTGAATAGCAGCTCAATGTCCTTATCTGTCTCTCAGCTTTCTCTCAAGAAATTACCAAGTCTGTACTTATAGTAGGCCTCCTCGAAAGACATATCCTTAGGAATCCTCTTCACCCTCTTGTGAAATCCATCAAGTTCCACTTTCTTAATTTCTCTCCTGAGGTGCTTGGGCATATAGGATTTCCTAGATTTCACTCTCATCTCAACTGGAATCTCATCTTTCGTTACCTGACTTTCTATGGCAGTTTTGTATCCGTCCCATTGGTGTCGTTCGATACCTGGTGTATGTCGTCGGAGTGGTTTTGAATTCCAACAAACTTATCTGATCCCAAAAGTGGTGTCGATCGATGCACATCGGATTGTGTCGGTCGACGCTCAGGTGATGATTTCGAGCGATGCTCGGGTGTTGGTGTCGGTCTACACCAGTACGAGCTGCCTATAGACATAGAGCTTTCGACTTGAAAAGCATCTTCTTCCAACTTCTCATCCTCAAGTATTTTCTCAAATCCAATATCTAGGATGTCATCAACCTGGTGCCTCACACTTTCCACAGCTTTCTTTTTGACCAAAGCTTCTTGCTTCACAGCTTCTGCAGTATGATAAGCTTGGGTGCGTAGCCTCTTAACATGGCTATCTAAGGTTTCCAACCTTCCATTCAAATCTCTGCAGAGAAAATCCAATTTCAGATTCAAATGCTCAGTCATCTCTTGCTGTTCTTTCAAGAGCTTCTCTAGCATAAATTCCATCTCATCCTCATCATGGTATGTAGCTTGTTGCACCCATGAGACTTCATGTACAGAACCAATCTCAGCCTTAACATTCTTGTCACTATCCTTTGCAGCTGATTTTACCCTGTGTATATCCAGATTTTTGACACTGTTACTAGACACCATGTTCTCAATCAGCTTATTAGCTGCCTCTATAGTCCTTGTCTCAAAGTTTCCTTCGCTTGCAGTATCTATCATAACATTTTATCTTACATTAACGCCTCTGTAGAACTTCTTTAATAACTGAATCTCCGTAAAACCATGATGTGGACAATCCTTTTGGTATCCCATAAACCTCTCCCAAGAGCTTCTGAAAGCTTTTGTAGGTCCTTGAGAGAATGTCCAAATCTTATCTCTTATCTCTTCAGCCCTTGCATCATCGAAGAATTCATTAATGAATGCATTCCTGACATCATTCCATGTAGTGAGAGATCGTGGTCGTAGACGCCTTAGCCAACGTTTAGCATCCCCAGAAAGTGAAAATATGAACAACTTGCAGATGATGTAGTCTTTTGTTGCTTCATTCTTCTGGATTCCAGACGTATAGTTTTCTAGTGTCTCAATATGGTCCAGAGGATTTTCATGAGGCAGACCGCAATAAGGGCTCACTCACATGAATGAAGTGTTTGGGGTTTACTTGAAATTTTGGGACTTCCAGAGGTACTCGGATAGCAGACATGTTGGTATATAACTCTCCAGGCCTGATCAATTCTGGTAGCGTTCTCTTGCGAGAAACTCTAACATCCTTAGCGGTAGCAGATGGCTCAAGGATTGCAGTTCCTGCTCCATCTATCTTCTGACTTGCTGCATTACACAAATGACCTTCCTGGTCATGCAGGTCTCCATTCTCATCTCGTACAAGGGATATCGTCGCAACCATGTCTCGCTGCTCAGTATCGATCGATCTTCGAGGTGAAGTATCGATCGATGTTGGGTGGGAAACGTCGTTCGACAGAAGGGTAGCTTCGGTCGATGTGGGTGGGCGAGTATCGGTCGATGAAGACGGTGTCTCGGTCGACTGTGGTTGGCGAGTATCGATCGACGCACTAGTGTTGTTATCGATTGATAGGGAACGTTTTTCTGTGCGGATCGAACGCTCCAATCTTGTAGGATCTGAGATGAAAAGTAATTCCTCATTGCTGCTTCTGGTACTGATAGGCATGTATGTACCTGAAAGACAAGAAAAAATTTTCAGTAAGTAACTATAACAGTAAATAAAACCTGGACTAAACCTATTAATCAAGTCTAATGGCGAATCCTTGCTCCTCGGCAACGGCGCCTAATTTGATATCACTCAAATGTTTAACCTTAAGGAGTGAATTACTCTCTCAAATAAGAGGTTCAATTGTAGTACTTAGGGATCGAATCCACAGAGAGCAGAAGCACACAATAGACTATAGAAATCAAAGTTAAGCTAGGTGAAAAGTTTATAAAACAGTAAATAAAAGCAAGGTAGATGTTCGATTGGTTGAGTTTGTAAGCAATAAGGAGAAATAGCTAGACTTAGGGATTTATCAATCAAGAGATTCAAAACTACAATTCAAGATGCTAATAGCTTATAGATTCATTATAGAACTCGATTTTAATAAGTAAGTAATCCGTCTATCAATGCAATTACTAATCAGATGTCTAAGTCCTTGTTCCAGCTTTCGCATGCGAACAAGACATGAGTATCGATCGATGCTATGGCCTGAGCGTCGATCAATATTACCTCAGACATGCATTAACGACCTAATCGATTATGTTCAACTAGATTCATGTGCGCCTAAGTATCTAATCCAGCAGGATTCGGGTTCCGTTAATTGACTGCACTTTAGTGCATCTCAATTGTCCTATGATTCTAGGTTCAAGCTATCAGTCACACTTTCATGATATCGTAATTACTCCAGATCCTAGTATTATAAATCACCCTTGTGTAGATATCTATAGATATTCTAGCAATCCTAATTGATATTCAGTTTGACATTAAGCTCATGAAATCCCTAAACCTAACAAGATGAACTACTCAGACATGATAGAAGAAACACAATCATAGTCTGAATTTTATGATTATTTGCATATATATATATGTAACAAACTTTACATCAACAAAATTTTTTTAATGTCGAATGTTTAGTGGTTTCAGTAATTTATAATCATTTAAAAAAACAATGAGATTTCAAAATTAAAATATTGAATTTTCAATATATGTTCAATGCGAATATCAAAATATAAGTATGTATTTTCATATGATGTATAGTTTAATTTAAACGATATGATATATATATATATATATATATATATATATATATATATTAACATAAACACCTATTAAAATAAAATTATTTATTCATACAATTTTATAATCATTGTATCTTATTATAGTAAAAAAATTAAACCTTGTTCACAAAAGTTTATGTGAGCTTTTTAACAATTTAGTAATTTATACTCGTTTTGAAAAATTTGAAATACAACATATACAACAAAATCTAAATTTTTATGATATGATTAATGTAACTGTGTAATTTATTTTTCATATTAAAGAATTGAAAAAAATGAAAGAAATTATAGATATTGTTAGCAAATATTTATTATTTAAAATCATTAATTGTCATATATATCTTAATCACATTAGGTAATTTTGTAGGTTTTATAATTAATTTTAACTTTATAAATGAATTTTCCATAATGGATATACTATATAATATAATTTACCTAACAATTTAATTTTGGACTAACAAAATTCTCAATTGATTCTCAAGCCGCCTGGATTGCAAAACTAATATAGACAAAACTTACGAAGACTTCCCAATAAGTTTTCTATAGTAAGCCAATTTTCTGACATAATTTGGTCTATTGCAAAACTAACACGTTTACAGAGACGATTTTCATGGAAATTTACTTGTATTTTTTATTAACAAAGAAAAAGGAAAAACAAATCAAAGAGGTCTTCTTTAAAACACACGCAGAAAATCAATTGCAAAACTTCAGAGAAGTCATCTTAGCTAAAGATATCTGAAAAAAAAAACAAAGATCGTTCTTAGTTTCTCCAAGCATACATAATTTCTTAATAAATGTTGCCCATTCGTTTTTGACCAAGAATTATGATCTTGAGTAACTCTAATAAACTTATAAATCTTGAAATAAAAGTTAAGATTTTGAGATGAAATAAGAGTGGAAGAAAAATAGAAATGGATTGTGTGGGTAAGAATTAAGAACATGAAGATGTAGATATTGATTTTAGGTGCATTCAGAGGTTGAAATTGGTTATTCATGGTGGTTGGTGTATTGGTGACAATGACAATATTGTAAATATTTGATGAATATGGGAATGATATAGTAAAACACTCATTTTCGAAAAAAACTTATGGTATTATCGTGAATAATCTAAACTTCTGGAGTGAACATGATAAATGGAATTTTCAAAAAAGTCATTGGTTACTTTTGTTTTGGGTCATATTTGAAAAAATTCTCTTTAAGTATATTACTATAAATTTTAAATTCATGAATTTTTTCAAATATCTTTTACGTAGTAAAAAAATATTTATGTTTTCATGGAAAATTTTGTATATATAAAGAATTTATTTTTTATTTTATCATTAAATATTTGACTATGTGAACATCAACCTATTCTAATTGTATCTGAACTGATAATATATTTTTATAAATATTGGTAAAATTATTATGCCATACGTACGGATGAAACATCTAGTCAGCTATATAATGATTTTAGATTTATTTCTACCATGGAAAACCCCTTAGTATGGCTCTTTTAAAGACAGTTAAAAAGTTTCCCTAATTGATAAAGAAACATATTCACACTATCACCTTATATTAACAATCTTCGAGTACTAAAGGCCATATCTCAACCTCATCAACTGCTAATCTTCAAAAGCAAATTGCCAGATACAATCTTCGAGTTCTAGAGTGATAGTATAACATCATGAGCAATCAATTTGGAGAACTCAATTATGTTTTTTTCTTCCTTTTCATAGTAGATTGGTTGCTCATTATGTTATAACACTATACTATTCTATAATTTTAGGCTGACCAAAATCTAAATAGCATAAAAATGAAACGATTTACTGGAAAGTGATTCCAAAAGCCGGAGGCCAGTAGTCGACGGCATTGTAGCTGCCAACTTGGAGTGTGCTTGAAATTGGGACAAGATACAGTCCTCTGCTTTTCAAATCTTTCTTAGTTTCGTCGTTAAGGTTTGATTTGTCCGTAGATGATGATGAAGCTCCTTTTGATCTTTGCATGCAATTCTCCTTCTCAAGCTGATCACCAAATTATAAAACTTCTTTAGTATATATATATGCTATTAAACTTCCATGACAAATGCATTTTTAATAAGTAAGTAGAAAATCAAAATAAATCATTCAAGTGGCTTTTCTCGTCCGCAGTTATCTGACTTTTGTGGTTTAACGAAAGGCTGTGACAAAAAAAAAACGAAAGGCTATAAAATAGTATGAGGACTGGAAAGGGAAGCTTTTATAATGTCATCTTTTTATTTTGGTGACCATACTTTATCTTGGTCCTTTCACTTTTAAGAGAACAATAGTAAAGAGAAAAGGGTTTTTAAAAAAAAATTAAAGCTGCAATTTTAAAGAAGAGGGGGTATTTTTTTTTTTTAAAGAAGAAGATTTGGGTTCATTGATCCAATAAGACAGAAAAACTTTGAATATGTGCGTACCTGACCAGGGTCCTTAGGGAATAAACCGTTCATATCTCCTCGTGCCTAAACATTTAATTATAATCAACCAAACCAAATTGATCAAAAAAAAATCAACCAAACCAAATAACTTACGTAAATGAGAATATGATGTGTAAATAGAAACACCTCACACATTTATGTGTACAATTTCATGTGATTATCAGATGTATATATGAGTTTACTGCTTACATGTTGGTGCATCATATTATTTCTCGACGCAGTCCCGAAGTATGGTACACTAAGAACCTGAAATAATAAATAAAACAAACTTTGAAAAAAAACAGTATGGTCCATTGTTACTAGTCTCAAGTGACAACAATTATATATCGATTTTCAACTAGATTTTCAAAAGCACATACAAAACTAATTTCCAAATACATTCACTAATAAGAAATTTCTTTAAAACAAATATTAGCCTACGAATAATAGATGATGAACTACTGATTTTTTTACTTATATTGTTGAGCTTTTGATCTACATGTTACTTATAATTTTCTTAAACCAGGATAAATAAGGGATCAAAGCTCCAGATAGTTCGTACATCTTCACACTCAAATGCTTTTTGTTAGTTGTGAACTTGTGAGTCTTGTGACTTGTGAGGGATGATTCAAACAAATATTTTTCTTGAAACAAATGAAATAAGAAGTATGGTCGTTTTGAAAAGACAAGTCACCTCAACTTGACTGTGGAGAAATCTAATGTATCCAATAGCCTCCGACAAGACAGATGCTGTGTCAGTCTGGAAAAAAGGAATCAATCAACCAATAGATGACAAATATTCCATGGCTAATTTTAATTTATAAACATGAGTATACTATCTTAATTAAGTGATTTACATGTACGCCTGCTCTTTGAACCGAACTCGCCAAAGCGAACTGAAATTTTCGGTTAGTTCTGTTTGGTCGGTTAGAATTCAGTTCAATTCGGCAAGTTTATAGAAAAAGATCCAGCTGTCAGTTCAGTAATTGGTTAGTTCATTTTTTAATTTTTTTTTTAAAATTAAGTGTCAAACAAATTAACCATAACCAAATTAACCTAACTAACCAAAAATATCCAAATTTAACCAAAACAAAAAATTCCGATAAGTTTCGGAGAAAAAGTAAAAACTTAACTACCCTACCCCAATAATAAACCGAAACAAACCAAACATTTTCCAGTTTATTTCGGTGAATTTTGACCGAACCCACATGCCTAAATACATATGAACTAGTCAGTAATTATTATACCTTGCCATATGGTGATACTAGCTGATGAAGAGCTGCGATTCTGCCTCCAAGTTTCTCCTTTCTCACCAATGTAAGCTAGCTAACCACCAATGTATTGGTTTCTATGCTAAGTAATGAATTTTGGTAGAAAATGAAATCTGAACTAGAACTGAATCAAACTGAAAAACAGATATAGTTTCTATTTTTCATTTAAAATACGAGCACAAAAAGGATTGGGTAACTACCGTTGAATCTTAGGAAATAAAGAGAAAAGAATAATGAGATCACGAAGAAGAAGACAAATGAGATAGACAAAAATGTTACAATCACACACACATGCATCTTATTCTGATCCCATTCCCTTTTGTTTGTTTCTTTCTTTTCATTTGTTTTTGTGCTTTTTGGTTTGTTAATAGGAAATTTCAGCAAGATATAAAAACAGGAAAAAAAGATTTAGTTAGGTACCTTGAGAGTAGATTGTGATGAAGGATAAAGAGAAGGTACTTGAAGCTTTGGTTTCTTATTTGCAAAACAAGACCCAATATTCTCTGAGCTAGTACACTTCATGAAGACACAATTAACAAAACATTTATAACTGTTAACAGATAAATCATATAGAATTAATAAAAGTTAATTTGAATTAACCATATATTTTGACCCACCGCAGAAAGTTTAAGACCCTTGCTGTTGTTATTGTTGCTATCTTCACTGAAATTGTGAATTGCTGTTGTGGTCATATAAGACTTGTTTACAGGCGACGTCGGTAACGACATTATCATATAGTCTTTATTATTCTTAATCTCTTGTTTGATGGAAGCTTGATGCCTCAAAACTTGTTCGTCCCAATCCTTCTGCTTCTTCGCTTGGTAACTATGCTGTTGATTTTGATGATGATGGTTCATCATCTCCATGCTTTCTTCGTCTCCCATCATCGATCCACTCCTTTGTTTCAAAGACATGATCCATATATTAGATCTTATGTATGCAAGATATATACGTATATATATTATATGTATGTATATATATATATATATATATATATGAATTAAAGAAGAGGAAACTTTATTAGATTGGTTCAGGTTACAAAAAAGTCCAAGAACATGAAACCATTTTACGAAGAAATTATCAACATATAGTGAGCTATGTAAAAGAAAGAGTTACAAGAGGAGTTGGCTAAGGCTCCATGGCTGGTCAAGAGGCGGATCGTCATTATTGTCAAGCCAAGAACATAAGTTAGGGTTACTAGTAGGAAGCAGAGAAAAAGAAGAAGAAGACGGAGAAGGAAAGTAGTTGGGCAAGAGACTCGGACGAAGATAAGTGGCGGTACACGGAGGCAGCTGCGGCTGTGGTGGTGGCATCAAACCGCCACTTACTTTGTTCCACCAATTAGGGTTTCTAGCCGCCGTGAGGTGATGTACCGGCGAACTCTCTAATACTCTTCCATTTGTCATATCTCTCTTCTACAAAAGCCTTTCAATTTTATTTTTTTTGGAAAAACAGTTTGTTTGATTCTCTATGGTTTCGTTTAGATGTGATTTTTGGAAAAAGAAAAGAGGAAGAGAGATAAACAAACGCAACACTACAGCGATATGAATGATGAATTTTAGATGTAATGAAAACTTTTTTTTTTTTGTCTTTTGTGTTTCTTTTCTTTTAGCTTTTTATCTTCTTATTAGTATCAGGGATTCAGGATGTCCAAATTCGATGTATTGATTAACTAACTAGATGGTTTATCCGCATATTCGGGCATAATAATTTTACATATATTTTAAAGTAAACTAGGATAAGACCCGCGACTTGCGCGGGATGAATCTATTATTTTTATTATGTTTTGAAAAATGAAACAATAGTTCGGTTTCATTCGGATTATAGGTGCTCAATCCGGATATCGGGTTTCGGTTCGGCTCAAATTTTTGTCCGATTTTTTGGTATTTCGATCATTAAAATATAACTACTATTCTAAATCTATATGTACTACAGTTTGATTTGGTTTATATACCATCGGTTTTCAGTTTATTCAATTTTATACCAAAAAACATAATTATTTAGTTTGAGATCATATTATATATTATACAAATATATAATATGATCATATTTAGAGTCATATTGNAATCTATATGTACTACAGTTTGATTTGGTTTATATACCATCGGTTTTCAGTTTATTCAATTTTATACCAAAAAACATAATTATTTAGTTTGAGATCATATTATATATTATACAAATATATAATATGATCATATTTAGAGTCATATTGCCACAGGGTCATTTATTAAAAAAATATTATATATTTAAATAAAAGAAAAAAATAAAAAGACTTCTATCATCTAATAAAATGATCAAATCTAGAATTAATATCAAAACACTAAATTTTGAAAAAAAAAAACAGAAGCATGAAAGAAAAGTTTTTATATTCTTCCATATTTAGTGTTCATCAAACCAATATGTCTTTGATTGAACACAACTCTGTTTGTTTAAAGATAAAAAAATTGTAAAGAATTTCAACTAATTGTTGTCCATCAAATTTATAATCTTTACTTCAATTTAGTTACTGTTAAAAAAGCAAAAGATCAAAATAAGAAGTCTCAGTTATAATAAATTGTTAGCTATTTACAAAATATAATTATAGTTCAACTCATGTAACAAATAGATATTCATGTGTCGTTATAAATATATACATATTTACATGTTTCAGTTTAATTGGTTATAAATCAACCATATCCAAATCCTATGGTTTTTATAAAATCACATCCATTCGGTTTGTAAGGTATATATCAAAACTAACCATATTATCGATTGTTAATATCTTTTAAAAATATAAAATTAAAAAAGAACTAAGATATTTAAATCATTGATAACAAAAATTTTCAATGTGAAAAATTTAATAAGTTTATAATTTATAAATGTTCTTGAAAATTTATTGAAAATTTTGAAATTAAAATATTTATGTAATCTTATATGGTATATAGTTTAA